AAGTGTCGAAAAATAAATTTCACTGCAAGGCTGCCCTGGGTGCATCTTACACGAGTTGTACACGATACTGATCTACTTTTTAGAAAAGGTTTCTTTTTTAGTCTTTGAGAAATATGGCTCTGAATATCGTTGATTATCGTCTAAAAAACCAAGTTTGCGAGACAAGTAAAAAAACGTCTCTACAAATCGAGCAAGAAACAGCCTGGTTTTTTAGACGATAATCAACGATATTCAGAGCCATATTTCTCAAAGACTAAAAAAGAAACCTTTTCTAAAAAGTAGATCAGTATCGTGTACANAGTGAGGAAAGGGTTCTGAGAGCCTTGGAAGTGATATTCGTGATCACCGCGAAATTCTCTATCGAATGGTGTATGAAGCGTCGAAAAATAAATTTCACTGCAAGGCTGCCCTGGGTGCATCTTACTTCAAACTAGTATAAAAAGTGGAAAAGGAACTTCTCTTATTAGTGTAGTTGTAGTTCGCGAAGTTGGTGCAATATGAAATAGTTTTACAGTGAGCACTCCCTTCTTGAACATATAAAAGATGAACATTTTATGAAAATATAAAATTTGTTCTTTTCTGATTTTATTCTCTAAGCGGCAAAACAGAAAAATGTCTGCTCTTACAGTGATATCTATTAAAAATCGAATACATTGGAAGTATATATATGCCAATGTATGTATGTATGCACGATACAATCAAAGGAACCGAAATAAAACAAAATAAATTAGAATTCACTGCGGCAGAGCGACTGAGCGACGGACCGAGCGGCTGAGCGACCGGCTGAACGACAGAGCGACCAGCGACCGACCGATCGGCCGAACGGCAGAGCGGCCAAGCGACCGTCCTATATTTTGGAATGTTCCTTTAATAAATTTTAACATCGAATATTTGCACAATAATAGTCTTGAATTAAAATCTGATTAAGTCAATAGATAGAGTTCATCGAGTTAGTTATATTAATATCGAATGATAATCAGATGATAACAACTAATAACATCCAAAAACGATACAATGTACGCGCTACTCGACTCTCAACGTGAGATTACGTTTATATTTGCTAAATTTTTTAGTTAGAAAGATTAATATCATTTTGAGTGTTAGTGACTAGGTTTCGACTGTTAGTAGTCGCTGATAAGTATCCACCTGAATATTATTCGACGTTAGTATAACTAATTTGGCAAACTCTATCTATTCACCTTATCAAATTTTAATTGAAGACTATTAATGACTATCAGCCTATTTTACAACTGTCTCTTAACATCTGTACCTTCGATTTTACATATAAATTATAGCTTCAGGCTATTACGTTGTATTTTTCTTTTGTTCATTTAGAAAACAGATATAATTAACCCAAAACCATTAACACGCAAACCATCAAGTTCATTAATTTCTACATCGTTTGATTATATTCGAAAAAATTTGACAAATACAAAAGCATCAGTAACATCTTCAGCTGATTCAACATTATCAAGATTATCAAATTTAATTTCAGACATGACAACGGGTAGTAGTAGTGATAATAATAATAATACACGTTCGTTTTTTAAAAGAAAAAATTCATTAACATTACCTTTCTTAATTAATTTGAATGATGAAAATACAAATATAAATAGAAAATTATTCGATCGACAACGATCAATGAAATCATGTAGTAGAGAAAAATTAATAAACGATGATCGAAATAGTAATCTTGTACAATTATCATCTCATTATGGATCAGATTTTTTTTATCCAAATAATCAACATGAATATGATAATATTAATTATCATTCGAGAACACCACCACCATTTTGTACATGCAGTAAAAAACCATTATTACTAGCCGATGAAGCTTGTCAATATCCGTCTTGTGATGAAGATGAATTAGAGGAAAATAAAACAAAATTAAAGAAGAAAATTAATAAATTTCATAATTCAAAAATTTCATTATTATATCGATCACCACCTTCTACGCCACCTTTACTTCATCCACCACCACCTGCTCAATCTTTATTATTCCATAATTATTCGTCTACATCATCATCATCTGACATATCGATTATAAATAATTTTTATTCTCGTTCAAAATCAGTACCCTCGTCTGCATCATCGTCAAATGATCGAAGTGGTAGTTTCGATAATACATTAGTATTTAATGATAAA